AAACCTTAATATTCCTTCTGTTTTGAGCAAAGCTTTAAGGGCTCTGCCCATATTCTAGCAAGCAAATGTTCTGTTTGTAACTCTGTATGTGTTCTTTTACAATTTGTTGCGACGGTCGATAGGGATACAATTAACAAATCAAAGCGCCTCCTCTTCCTTCCATTTAAATCAATACTTTGTATGAAAACAATATCTTTAGCACTAAATGTAAAACTTTGAAATTGGAATCAAGGGCCAAAACCCAAAAGAATTGAATAAGAACAAGAAGAATTCATTAAACCGTCCAATACAAGATTACATAAGTGTTTCTAGGAAGATCGACCATCAAGGCGTAGCTAAAGAATGAGGCAAAACATAAGCATCCCTTTTAACGTGGTGGGAAGAAGAAGCAATTAAAGAAAGGAACGGCCTCAACATGATCAATGATCGCACCCATCTCTGAAATCGCCATCATGGAGTCACTTAAATCAAGGAGGAGGACTTGAATCACTTTATTCTTCTGCTTACCAAGCTTAAGAGAATCTTCGTCTTTCACTTACAACGGAAATAAGTACTGCGAAGAGATTGAAAAACACAAAGAAAGAAAAGGGAGAGATGCAGAAATTGTGCATTTATCATAGGAATCAATAGCTCAACAGAGAATTGTGGATTCAGACAATAGTCCAGGTTGTAGACAAGTTGGGATAATATTGTTATTAACCAAAGAAAGGGCAACCGACAAGTCATTCAATCTCCCAACAGATATAGATGAAGGCCCTTGGTCCCAACAGGCAATTAACTCCTTGTGAGTTCTGAGTCCTAACGCTCCGTTAAAAGTACTGGTAAATAGTTTGAAAATTTGAAACCAACTCGGGAAGAATTCACCCCCAAAAACCAAAAAAAAAACAAAGAAAATTCATTAAAAAGGCAAATTTTTACTCTCATTTTCACGAGAAAATAAAAAAAGGTACATGTGACAAACCGGACAGGGATAGAAGTCGGCTTGTCAAGTCGCTGTTCTTCTTTTATTGTTTCTCCTCAGTATTTAACGTTAAATCACATCATTTCAGAATTCCAAGAGCAGTAGTACACAGCACTCTTCTCTCCCCCTTCCCCCGCACCTTTTCCTCTCTCCTCTCTCTTCTCTCTTTTCTCTGGCTCTCTCTCCCATATTTCACTCACTCTGCTCAGTATCCTCTCTTCTGACCTCCCATCTCTTTCTCTCTTTTGCTTACCCCTTTCTTGCCCTTTTGTGCTGGTGAATTTTCTGCTGTTTGTCTTCGGCATTATGGTGTAGGCCTGTAGCCGTGGTAGGGTTGGTTTACTTTCTTCTCTCTCTCCGGCTCTTTTTCAATAAAGAAGGAAAGCTTTCAAACTTAAAAATCCCATGTGCTCTTCTTTTGGTCTCTTTTGAATAGAACCGAAGAAGAGAAGGAAGCAACAAGCAAGCAAAAGCAAAAAAGAAAGAATCTGTGGTTGTTGTAGAACAAGAAACTCACATGCAACCCTGCTTACTATCTCACTAGCTTACGTGCGTTATCTTTTGTTTTGGGTTTTTTTTTATCTATTCCTGTATTTCTCATAGAGAGCAAGTCTTTCATTCAAAACAGAGGTGAAGAGATGACTAAAGAAGAAGACTTTAAGCTACTCAAGATTCAGGTCTTTCTCTTTTACCACATTCTTTTCTGTCCTTTTAAAGTCTTTTTATGATTTATTTTTTGTGTATCTATATCCACAGCTTTGTGCAAAGGTGGATGCTGGTGGTCTTTTCTTCTAAAGAATCTTACTTCTTTGTTTTTGTTGTTTGCTTTGTTTCCTTTTCTTTTCATTTTTATCCGCAGACTTGTGTTCTCAAAGTGAACATACACTGCGATGGATGTAAGCAGAAAGTGAAGAAACTCCTTCAGAGAATTGAAGGTGCTCACTGTTGTTATCAGCTTTCTCCTATGATTCTGTTTTGTGACTGATTGGGCACTCCTCTCCTACCTCTTTTCTCTTCTGTATAAACATGTTCTTCATAGTAGTTTTGCTTGCTTGCTGAGAAAATTAGGAAAAGATGCCAAAATAATCACTAATGCTCTGCTAGTAGTTCAAAACAATGATCTCAAGAGCACAGTATTCTGATCACTGAGAAGAGTAAAATATCAGGAAACTATCTCACCTTGCTCGATAGTTTGAAAGAGACGAGAACAATGATTTGCTTTTGTCGGAAGTTCCATCAGTAGATCTTCCGGCTGGTCTGTGTTTTGGATAAGAGAAGGAAGTATGTAAATACTTGGAGTTCTCAAATCTGTCTGGATGTAATGGCTTGTTATCTGGACTGACCAATTCATCTTCATTTCAGGCATTATCACAGAAGATGAACATTCTTGAATTATAGATTACTAGGATTGATATTTGTCGTCTTCCAGAATTGCTAGGAAAATTTGCGACTGATTGGTCCTAATAGTTGGTGGCATGTGCATGTCTAATCTGTTTGTGTAATTTTCTGTTTGTTGTTTTCTTCTTTGTTCCAGGTGTTTACCAAGTAAGCATAGATGCAGAGCAGCAGAAAGTCACAGTCTCAGGAAGTGTAGATTCTGCAACATTGATTAAGAAACTGGTCAGAGCTGGTAAACATGCTGAGGTTTGGTCCCAGAAGTCCAACCAAAACCAAAAGCAAAAGAACAACTTCATCAAGGATGACAAGAACAACAACAAAGGCCCAAAGCACGGCTTGATCAAAGGCCTTGAAGCCTTCAAGAACCAGCAGAAGTTTCCTAGTTTCGTTTCTGAGGAAGATGATGATTATATGGATGATTATGACGAAGAGGATGAAGAGGATGAGCTGCAATTTCTCAAATCAAGTCAACTGGGTCAGTTGGGTCAGCTGGGTTTGCTTAGGCAACAAGCACTTGATGCAAATAATGCCAAGAACGGTGTTGGAAACATTACTGCAACTTCCAACAACAATAATAAAATGAACAACAATCTTAGTAATGTGAATGCTGGAAAGAAAGGAAACCAGAATCAGAATATGGGAATGAAGGTAAATCCAGGTGTGCTAGATCAAAAAACCTTGGCTGCTCTGAAGATGAATAATGCTCAGTTGGGTGGTTTAAACATCAATGCAGCAGAGGGCAAGAGGGGAAATGACATTAACTCCATGATGGGTCTTTCTGGTTTTCATGGAAATGGTCCTAATGTTGCTAATGCTGCTGCGTTAGGAGGCAATCCCAATGCAGTTGGAGGATTTCAAGTTCAATCCAACAATGGGTTGCAGGGATCTTCTGCAGCAAGTTTTCCAAATGGTGGATATGTTAATGGTCAATATCCATCATCTATGCTCATGAACATGAATGGCTACAACTATCCGTCGTCAATGATGAACATGATGAACCTGCAGAACAGGCATGCCATGCAGCAACAACCCCAGATGATGTATCATAGATCCCCGTTAATTCCTCCTAGCACTGGGTATTACTATAATTATGGCCCTCCTCCATACTCATACCCTGAAGCTCCCAGTTATACTGCTGATCACTCTGCAGCAACCCACATGTTCAGTGATGACAACACAAGCAGCAGCTGTTCAATAATGTAATGAGAACAAAGAAAAAAAAATATGTAGAGAGAATGCATGGGGTTTGACATGGAAATTCTCTCTAAGTGGAGCTAGTAGGTTTTGACAGTATTCTACTGTGTGATGTGAGGGTAGCAGAGATGCCGGAATGGGATGTGTGAGTGGATCTTATCTGTGTATTTGTGTAGTTGTTATGTAGATGTTCTCTTTTTTAATTCACTCCAGCGTCTGCCTGCTGTTTTTTTTTCCCTGTTCCTGGAATGACTGTGTGAACCGCAAAACTAGTAAATAAGCGGAGGAGTCGCTATATTTTATTCCTGGTATGACTATGGTCAAATTGGAGTCGCTTTATTTTATTCCAATACTAGACGAGGTGACATTGGTTACTGTATCTTCATGGAGACATAATGACACTATCTGCCAGAGAATAGGAACAGCTGGGTTAACACTTGACAAAATGGGTTACGTTTAGTGCTGAAAAGTGTGTATGTTAGGTAGATATGCACGTGCCTCTCACGTGCATTACTAGAGTGAAGCTGTCTTTCAACTATAGCCACGGGACCACCCAACCCAACATCACTATCCTACTCCTGCGATCCTACTACTGCAATGCAAAGCTTTGCCATCGCAAGCAAAGATATCGACCAATAATTTATTGTTTAAAACAGTTGGGTCATTGGCTTTGCAGCGGAGCTCATGTTATCTTTTATAACTTTTAAAAAATTGGTGCCCAGACGGCAATTTGAGTTCCTTGGTTCGGTTGTATTGATTATTTCTCTATCATTACTTGAGAAATTTCCACCCGCATGAAGCATCTACCCTATGGGATATACAACAGAGTGGACTGCAACAGGAATTTCTGCAGTTCAACTCCGAGAAGGAATCCCCATCCTAAACCTATGATAGCCTTTGCAAGGGGGCATCTAGGATTCTAGATACTCCGAGAAGAATTAACATGACATTAATGGAATCTGCTGGCGCCTCCTTTGCAGAACCCATCTACTATTTGATGATCCCCCTGCTACTCCATCAATTGAGAAAACATATTACACTCCTAGAAGACAACCAATCCTAATTCACAATGCTAACAGAGAACGAATACTGTCTGCTAATAGACATGGTTGAGGTCAACTATTTTTAATGAAACAGGAAAACTGGTTAAATAAGAAAAAACATCAAATTAACGCACAAGTATAACGTTTAAGCAATTGTATTGTGCAAAACACACACAATAGCTTAACGTCCCTGACATTTAGCAAAAGCTTAAATAGTAGGCAGGAATTTAGCATAGTAATAATAATAATAATAATAAGCAGAAAATTTAGTACATAAAATGTTACATTTCGATTCCCTCACTACATAATTTTGGTAGAAAAAGTTATTACTTCTTTTTGGATTCAAAAGCTTTCCCGCAATATGAACAAATAAATAAATGAATTTATGCAAAATACATCATCACTTTTAGAACATTATTATACTACAGATTAATAGCAAGAGAAGTAGAGAACTGTCATGAACAACAACCAAATTCCATGAGAGAACCAAAATCAAATAAAGATTTCAATTCGTTTCTTTCTAAATAAAAAAGTAGAATATCAACATCACCTCCATATTCAAATGCTGCCTGCTTTATTTCATTATAGAACTTTTCCCGTGTTGCCCCAATCGTCCACTCTCCACAAGCAGCTAATGCAGCTAGAACCAACCTTTCTATCTCGGGGTTGAGTGGCTTGAAATGTATTCAAACTAAAGCAAGAAAATAAAAATAAATAAAGACATGACCAGATTTCACAATCACATCACAGACATAAACACAGTTTCTTCCCCCAATTAAATTGAAGATCAAAGGATGAAAGACAGTTGCCATAAGCATTTCTTTTTGAAAAAGTAATGAGAGAAGAAAGAATTATCGTAATACACATAGAAATTGCTATTTCTCTCTCAAGGATGTGCTACATGATGAAACCGTGTGAGAAGAAATATATTGCACACATTTTTCACAAAACCCTTCATGAAGCTGCTTACCTGCATTCTTGGCTCTCATTTTTATTCTTTGGCACAAATTCTGAAAATGGAAATTGTGTCCTGAAAAACAGTCGTAAAACCATCTTATGGTAACAACTGCGAGTAGATGACATGCTCTGCTTTATGCCAGAATAATAAGTTGGTAACCCTTAGATTGAGAACAACAAGGTTAAACACGTTGATGTAGACCTTAGCAGCTTGAATTATTAGATTTTCTCTTATCTCTAGACTGAAAAATGAAAGATTCCATGCTTTTCTTAATAACTACTTTGGAATTCCGAAAAATAATTTTAATTCAGAAATGTGTGCATAGCCCAAAATAAGGGCCTCTTATTGAAGTCCATGAAAAGAATGCCTCCTCACTTCTTTGTACCGCATATGCGGGCAAATCATATAATTTGTCTTTTTTCCTTCCTAATTTTCTCATGTTGTGTTTTAATTTTTGAAAGAAATGACTATTTTTATGTAATATGTTCAAAATGCAACTAACTCAACTTCTTCTAATACATGGGAACTGCTTCAGTTACATGAAACGTGAAGTTTTTGCTTGTCATCATAGTTCTTTCAGACCAATATCTCAAGGTAAGAAAGCAAAAGAATGTGCATCCACTCAAACTTTAAAGATCTAACCTGCATCATACGTGTCTGATCCGGTACTTATGTTATTGCCGCTCTATCCTCCAAACACGAATGCAGGCGTCCTCTCCTGAGCTGACCACACTGCTGTCATCAGTAAAAACCAAACCATAAACTCCACCAGGATGAGCATTCTTTATAGTTATGCGGCTTGAAGGAGGTTTCCCAACTTCATATATGATTACACAAGTGTCTAGTGATCCTGTAGCCACCATAGTGCTATCAGGAGACCAAGCAAGGCAATTGATACGAGCTGTGTGGTACAACATGTTATTAAGCTTCACCTGCAAGACATGAATTGCAGAAAATGATGATTAATACATCCACTCAGTTGCTAGAAACACTTTAAGATATCCTGTTCTTCAAAATATTCAGAACTTATTTCACTATTCTTGGTGACACTTTATTTCGATCTGTTTCTTGATTAATACTAACCTGTAACAAAGATACAAAACTAGAAGAGTGCTTATAGACGAAGTGCATATTGATGTTCATGATATCCTAATTATAAATTAAAACAAGTTTTCCAGTTCACAAATAACATATTACAGTTGCTATAAAAAAAAATGCAAACTTTAGAAAGCGGTGAGCTTTTGCTCCACAGCCTTACATGGCAAGATGCTTCATACCATGGAATTATAGCTAACAAAACAGGTTTCTACCTAGCAGTTGACGCCAAATGCAAACATAAACAACCTGATAACTGAGGAATGATTAGACAAGCTCCACAACCACCATTATGATTCGACAAACACTCCTAAAAGAGTCCCAGCAGACCAGGATACTTGCCATGCCAAACAGGCTTTGGAGCATGTCCCAATGTTACTGAGAAACATGAGGATAACCAAAAAACAAAAGACGACTCTCCAAGACTATGTCCCTACAGGAATGAGACTGTTGGATCTGCATCCCACAATAATCTAATTGTTGCTTGAAGCATCCACTCTTGTTAAGGAGTAAGTTGTCTCTTAATTTCAAAAAAAAAAAAAAAAAGAAGGATGTTATCTCTCAGTTGAAATTGTATTCCCCAATTTACTATTGATATTTAGGAAATGTCAGGCAATTAGAGTGCCCAAGAAGGAATAAACATAACAGTCATTACTGCAGCGTCTTTCATCTCAAAAATGGGATGTGTCAACTCACCATTCATGATTTCATTAGTAAGGGTAAGACATAATAAAAATATTTTGAAGTTCAAGCTACCTCTTTGGAGACATGATCCCAAACAACTGCCTCACGGTTGAGATCGGCTGAAGCAAACATGGAAACATCTGGAGAATACCGTATCACGCTAATTGCACCTCTATGCTTCTCAAGGGTTGCTTTTTCTGTAAGAGAATCACCTGAAACAGAATATATATGCAATTTACCGTCCTGCCCCCCCACAATAACCTCACTTCCATCAGGTGAAATAACAGAAGCTGTCACGGTAAATCCAAGATTGCATGTTTGATAGTTCTTGTAGACCCTTAAGCAATACAACTCCAGAATCAGTTGAAACTAAAGCCAGATCAGGAGAATTGATGGCGTAGCTCAAGTCTTTCGGCTGACTGCCAACATCTATATGTTCTGCAACCCCACATTCTTCCTCGTGCAGAGGAACTCTCCATACCTGAAATTAACTAAGGCATTATCACAAAAAAAAAAAAAAAAGGTTTTCAATCTTAAAGGATGCAGAGTATTCACAGTTGACATTAATCCAAGAAAGCACTAATCTAGATAGAGATGAAATTGATTGATAGAAAAGATCACCCATGTCTGGAGATCCCAGTAAAATTAATCTTTTTAGGGTAGATTCAGTTTTAATTAACTACACAATGAGATCTAATACCCAATTATTATAAGTTCCATTAGAAATTTTCATGGTCTATTTATTAAGTACCTATCTGGTGCTGACAAAGGCAAACTTCTTTCTCTTTGCTTTCAAGTTTCTACATTTTTCTTCCTCCCACTTAAGTTTTACTTGATTAATAAACATAACTAGAAAATTCAACTATGCATCCAAACAAGCCTAAGTGGATAAACCAGGATCAAAACCCACCACTAGTGTTTCTTAACCATTTCTCATCTATCATGCACTCTGTTATCTTAAACTGGATAATCAGGTGAACTTCACGAGCAGAATAGACTCATGAAATCCTAGTGCTCTATCACATGTTTAAGGTACTTGAACATAAAGATTATAATCATAGATACTAAGGAAAACAGAACCAATCATTAGGATCTAACAGAATCAACAATATTTCAGTAAAGTTTAAAGTTGTAGTTGATATTCAGCACACTCACAGAAAATACTTCAAAAACATTGAAGTGCTAGCCCTAAATACTACTTTCAAGAATCAGTCCAAAAATCCACCCATTAACAAAAAATCTGGATCGCCAGTTTAGGTTGCTAGAAAATTATCCTTTTTGCTGCGACAAGCTGTTCCAATAAAGCTTCTATACTATTTGAGTTATACCACTCCAGGCACCCATTCAAAATGCAACCATCAATTCAAGTTAGGTGAAATACATTTAACCACACTTTGCATAGCATTCAAAATATGAACTAAACTAAATTTGATATGATTCCATAGTATCACTTTTTTCCCCAGAAAGATCTTATATAACAAACATAGACAGCAACTAATGCATAAATATTTATATTAAACAGGCAAATTAAAATTTTATACAGGGAAGTCCTTAACAACTGAATTTCTATTTGAAGAATAAGGTTTTTGTTTTGACATTTTCCTCTGTTTATTGGTGGATGAGATTAAAAACCGGAGATTATCAATGCATACTTTGTTTAACAAATAATAAAATGCAATGTGTTTTGTGGTATAAGTTTACCTTGTTGTCATATCCAGATGTAATTATCTCTTCTTTAACAGCAGCCAAACATTTAATTTGAGAACTATCTTTCCTCTTTAATTTGCCACTGTATCCAACCCCTTGAATCCATCTAAGGATGGATCCATCAAAGCTGCTGGACAGAATCATCTTTTGGCTGCTTTTGAGTACAGTTAAGGTAGTTATGTTCTTCATATGTCCAGACAACAATAATGGGGGTTTATCAGGATCACTTGCAGAGAATAAGTTAATTGTGCCACCAAGGGAAACCGTAACAAGATGATCATTCTGCCACAGACATCCAACAAGCATGTCCTCCACTCCATCAGATCCAGGACATTCCAATGTTTTCTTCACTTTTCCAGAACCATCTTCAAATATCTCCCATATCTTTGCAGTCTTGTCAGCAGAAACAGTTAGTACCTGATTTCATCAATAAAATAATAGACACATAAGTAAGAAACATAGAATTGCAATGAAGAGATTAGATGTGGTTAATGGAAGAAAGAGCTACCAAAATTTTTGTTTCATGTCAACATACTCATTGAGGTAAACATGACACTTGTGATGAAAACTCCAGTCAACCTTTGTTAATGATTGTGAAACTGTAGGTTAAACCTTGTAGATCTCTCATGCCTTTATAAAAGGGAACAGGTGAATGCGATACTCTAACTGATGACTTTGTTGGATAAACAATATACTTAGTAGAGGACCTAAACGTAGATGGATTTAAAGGAGACTACTAAGCTTTCAGTTTACAAAAACTGAATGTCCTGAAAGTATTTTGACCTAGCAGTTCTGCAAAGAGAGAGAGAGGGAGAGAGGAAGCGAGAGCTCATGCTTAAAAGGCAATACATGAATTTAAAGCAACATTAATATTAATTGTTCTTCTTTGTTACTTGTCTGAAAATAATCATTAAGGAAAACCAAGTGAGTCATGGATAGAATTTGTTTACAAGGTTCATCAGACTACTTTAATTGAGCTTGAAGATCAAATAGCGTGCAGGAAATTGAATCCTAAGTTATAAATAAAGCCATCGAGGTCAAGCTGTATGCTCATTTTAATCTTTCCCAGCAATTTGTTTCTCAGTTTCTGTCCTTTTAAACTTCCTCCTATTCTCTTGTCCAGACATCTCATTCTAAACTGCAAATAATGGCCAACCATAGATTACTTTTCCCATTTTCCCCCCTTTTATTTGAGGGTAAAGCAATCATGCAATGCTTGGTTTCTTTCCTCTTCTTTTCCCTTAAAATAAGTAACAAATAGTACATAAAAGTTGCAAAAGAGGAAACTGAATCCTAGTGAACTGAAGTATACAAGAGACCTACAAATAGATATCAGGAGGAAACACTTTCTGATTCCTAACATCATATACATTCGGAAAGAAGAGAAAAGAGCTGCAAAACTTTTTTTTGACTTTACAGCAGAAAATTAAGGTTCCATTCAGTTGATGTTTTTGCCACTCTCTTTTTGATATGCTTTTTGAAAAATTGCTACAAAGCAAACACAAATGTTAAAAAACAATATTATAATTGATTTAAAATGGGCAAATAATTAAAATTTAACACCATTTATAACATAATTAGTTCATATAGAAGTAGATCATGGATTTTTTTTTATCCAAAAGAATTACATACATTTTGTTTATGATTCTTCAAATTTTATTTGCTTTTATTTCCAAATGCATTTTTGCTTTCTAGCTTTCAAAAACAAAAAGTAAATAGCAAAAGCGCCTAGACTGAACCTAAAGAATCCTAGTCTTAATCTCAATCACAAAATGCTCTATTGTCTAGTTAGCTTTATAATTCCTCTGAGCCTAAAAGCTCCTGAGTGCGTAAGGTGGTACTATATCCTCTAAAAAATAAGGTTTTTCTTCCACTATCCCCAGCTTGTCAACATATCTAGCCAAAATTCAAAAACTGATCAAAATAGACATTTCAAAGGATTTCAGCATTACCAACAAGACTGCATGAAAATATATGCAGAGATGGCAACGGCCCAACTCATGCACACACCCATGACTAATGAAACCAAATCAATTTGGTGGCAAACAAATTCAAAAGCTATTAACACGAAATTAGGCTGGAAAAAAAATCAACAAAGGAGAGAGTGATGATTGGAAGCACAGTTGCATTTAGCGCTGGTCTTTTCATGAAGCAATGCTTTTTTTTTTTTTTGATAGAGCAATGGACTTAATTAAAGCAACTAAATTAATATTGACCAAGGTGCTTACATGTTTACCATCAGCGCTCCAGCTAACAGCGTAAATGCTGCCTGTATGACCATCTTCACAGGACAACTCTCCAATAGTTTCACCAGTCTTCGCATCATAAATTATACCCTTCTTATCTGAGCTTACACTAATTAGTTTGCTGCCATCTGGGGAAAATCTAATGCAGTTAACGAAATTTGAATGCTCCCTGCAGATTATAAAACAAATCCTTGAATAACCCTTAAAGTAACAAACATCTTAACAATCAGAAGACTAGTTTCAAAGCGGAATTCATGCTTTCTTCAAAAGAGTTCATTCCACAGTGCACTCTTTTCAGTTTTCCCACATCTTAAGAACCAGTAGAAGACTATTTCCAAAATGAAGCGACAAATAGTTGTAACAAGCATTATGCAATTATCAAATTATTGCAGGTATGGGAAACATTCTTTGTTTGCATCATAAATTGACTTGCATTGTAGATTTACATATTGAAAGTTTTAAGTTTACATTTTTAATTTGCAATGGGCATAGAAATTGTGAGCGCATAGTTACTTTTAAAAACTAACATTGAAAAGGAAATAAATAGAAAAACAACCCATCTCTCCACTATCTCTGCATGTGGAAATGAGAATCAGCTAATTGTAGATGAATTCCAAATGCCAACCGATAAAACTTAAAAAAGAGGTGAAAGTACAGGTCTTCTTTAATCTGAAATTCGCATTTTTTTTTGTTCTAAAATAAAAAACATTAGTATTGCTTTTATATCCAAATGAACCATTTGCTTTCTGCTTCTGACAACAAAAATCGAATAGCAAAAATGACAAGCAAACCATATTTAAGACTACGATTCAAGGTAACAGCCTTTTCTAATATATTACTGCAAAGCAAGACCAACCCATCAATGAAATCTTTCCCTCACTAAATCAATGCCTTACTTGAGCAATTCACTTAATGTAGTGCCATGATAAATGATAAAAGCATTCGACAATTCAACACTCTTACCTACCTGTGAGATAACTTGAACTTAAAGGGTGGACCTTCATAAAAATTCACCAAGAAATCCTCTCCACAGGTTGCAATCCGAAACGGCCTCGTCGGTTTGAAATGACAGCTCAGCACCCTCCTCGAGTGCCCATCAAAATCCCCCACAGTACTCCCCGAGTCCCACCTTCAACCATCACAAATCCTAATCAAAATCTGAGCATTTTATATTCTTTTGATTCAAACTTAATTTTTATTCAAAAAATAATAACATTCTCTCTTCCAATTTCAATCTGCAACTTTTGTTTTTATTGCTCCATAATTATGTTTGTTTTTATCAAATTTACCACTAAATTACAGTTCAATATTAAGTTTTATCACTATATGTAATTATATTATTAATTTTTACGACTACATTTTTTTTATTTTGGTTAATTTTTGAATAAAAATAACGGCAAAAGAATATATTTAATAAAATTTCTCTTCCCCTTTCGCGTTTACTCTCACGGAATCTTTTTTACATGCAAAAATCAAAGTTCCTAATCAAAAGGAGCCTTCAATACCTGATTACCATTATTCAATCCACAAACTGTTCTCACCAGAGACAGAAAATAAATGGCCTAAATTTCAAACTAATTATACTGCATGTCATTTCGAGTGTTCAGGCAGGCTGTTTCCTGACCAAAATTTTGTATATAAAAACGCAGGCAGTAGAAACTATTGAAATAAAGAATACTGACATAAAAGCGCGGACAAAGGACTTTCCTTTACCGTCGCCAGAGGCAACGATCCTCAACCCGTCGGGAGACCACTGGAGATCATCGATCCGACCCGAGAGGACCTTGAACTCATTTTTCAAAACGAAGTCATTATGGGTACCCCAGATTCGTACGGTGCCCGAGACGTCAGCTGAGGCGATCCACTCGCCGTTGGGGGAGTAACGAGCGACAGTGACAGGGTAGCCGTGGTCGCCATAAACGGCAACATCGAGAGGGCGGTCGAGGTATCGGATGTAGACGGACCTTCCATTGCAATAAAGGATTGAGTTGGATTTGGGATCGCCGGAGATTAGAATTCCACGGCCTCGTTCCGTGGAAGGGGTGCAGGCATAGGTTTCTACGAGATTCGCCATTTGTTATTTGCTTGTTTTAAGTTTTTGTGGCCAACGAGAGCTTGTTTTTGGAGGTTTTCAGTTTTTCAGTTGATAGGAAAAGTGCGGGAATTGAGGAGGTAACTTTTTGAACGAGTTGGTCGCTATTCGCTGGGTTGAGAAGGGCCATTCCCGTTCAGATCCGTTAGGGATCACCATGGCTCCATGCTTCGTTCAGGCCTTACGAGAAAAGGTCCAATTCGGGCCAGGCGTATTCAATTAGCCCAAGCCCCAACAACTATTTTTTGCAAATTATTAATTAAGTAATTACTGAAAATGTTGAACTATTATTATGTATTAGACAATTATATCCCAAGTGAATAGTGTTTTAGTTCACAAAATCATACCGCTTCGCACATAAAGCTTACAGTCACCAAAGCAATGAGCGTACTCTGCATCCACAGATTTGCGATGTATTTTAATTAATTACTTAATTTGTATAAAAATGTCAAAATATTTCTTACTAAGTACTAATCATTTTGTTTACACAGACATGTTGTATAATGCTCCACCCAACATGTCACTAACTCATCACTTTGTGCTTAAGTGCTTGACACATGAGACATCCACGAAGAAGAGCCGGATCCAATTTATAGGTAACGACCAAAGCTCCACTGTTTCACCTGAAAAGGTTCCTTTTCTTTCTTCTTGCTCTAGAGGGACAAAACCCCACAAGCACAAAATAAAAATATATAATATAAATTGCATTCTAACAATGACAATGATGAGTAGGCATTGGTCGTAGTGATGAAGTTAGGAGTCAGCAAATGCACGAGCATACCTATTATTTATAAACAACCGAGAGAGTGAGAAAAATTAATTAGTTTAAAGAGTACGTTTCCCAAGTAATTAATTACTATAAGATATCACCTCCGAAAAGGGTTCATTCATCTCAGAGGTTAGGTCTCGATCGATCGGCACTTGATCATCACGTTTGATTTTTTGCATCATTGTTAGTTCATAACGGAGAAGCCTGTGAAGAAGCAGTTCCTCTTGGGAAAAGAAACAGAAAGATCAAGTACAATTTCCTTTAATTAAGTGGGTTTTTCGTTTTCTTTGGAAATATCGTTAAATTAAATTGTAACAATACGGTCATAGATTGGGTGGGCCAAAACAACTAGGTGATGAAGTCAAGTAGTGGGAAGACTTTGATAATGATGTAACACTTGATCCACCAAAAAGCTCTGGCTGTGGTTTGAAATTCTGTGACGAAGAGACAAAAAAACATTTCACGCTTCAACGAGAACATGAATCTATTAAAAAATTGACTTGGCCATTAATCTTACTAGAGTGTGGCCCCCACCATGCTTGGGCTAAGCTATCCTCTTCTAAATTCTAGTAAAATCGCTGGTGAACAACAAATATTTTAATTTTAACTCATTCGTTGATCGTGGCTTTATCTTTTACAAATTTTGATATAAATTTATAAATCTCAACTTCAAAACGTGACCTTTCTTTCTTTTTAAATATGCAATAGGTGGTCCATACACTGCTCTGGACGTACTTTTTCATTTTTCTTTATGACAGTGTAGATGCGGTCTCTCTTCATCCATGCTAGGCTTCCACACACACACAAATTTACGGTCTTCGGCCTAACAGGTAACTCCCCTACTTTAACAGAAAAATCTCACACCAGTTGCAATGGGAAGAAACTAGAAAAATATTCTTAACTTGGAATAAATTCGGTGGCCCTTGGCTTCGACTATGACAACCGCAAGCATGTTTTCGCTGCAATTTCTAATGTTATATTTAATAATCTAATAATAATAGCATATGCTATCATACCCTAATTAGCTTCAATTAGAATTTTATCACTGAAATAAATAAATAAACATAATATTTGAAAAAAATCACGAATTTTTTTCAAAAATTTAAATAAATCTGTAACATTTTATTATGTTCAATAAAATTTTTATATTTTTGTTTTAATTTTTTATAATTAATGATTAATTAATTATCATTAAATATTATCATATTATATCAATAAATTATTATATGTCAATATGTTAAGTTAATATTACATTATATAAAAGTTTTAATTATTAATAGTTAACTAATTATTAATTATAAAAATTTATTTAATTTAAAATAAAAATATAAAAATTTTATTAAAATAAAAATAAAAATTTATTTAAATTTTTATAAATAATTAATTTTTTTTTAAAGTATTATTGCAAATAAATGTTATACATGAATTTGCCGGCGCAGCTATGTGTAAGGGAAAAAAATTTGCTTTTCTTTCGTTTTGGAATTCACATTCAGAAACGAAAAGCGGGACATGCAGGCCCTGATTAAACATGTCTCTTACCATTTCGAAGAAATCGAAGCTAACCACTGAAAAGGCACCCCTTTTTCCCTGCGGAGAATGATTGGCCCGAGATAATGAATTTATTATAAATATTTTCAAAACATTTGTCCATTATATGTGATTAATATATATATATATATATATATATTCCAGAAAGCAGCTTTGTATTAAAATTGAAGAAGAATCTGTACAACGGACTTGAAGTAGGAACAAAGAAAACTTCAAACTTAATACAAATTCAGAAGAAGTCAGTGGCTTCATCAATCCCAGACTTAACCTCCCCTGAAAAACTATATTTTACTACTTACGGTCTTGAGCTAAATAATTAGGATGATTTTTTTGGTTGACTATTTCTTAGTCTACTCACAAGATGACTATTTCTCATCTATTTTTTTTTTTAGTTGTCTGCGTGGCCTTAATAGGTATGCTTTTTACTTGATTCATAATTATGGCTTCAATAGGAAATATGTTCCAATTATTAATTTCATAATTGATATTTTCAAAATATCTATTTTTAAGGATATCAGCCCAGTATCGATAAAAAATGGCTATTTTGTGGAATTTAAGTATGGGACTGCAAGTCTGGAAGGCAGTGAACCACGACCCTATATAAGGAAGGTAAGCCACAAATAAACCTCCAATTAACTCAATTCTTTTCAAAGCTTATCTGTCTTTCTTTGTCTCTCACGCTTTCTCACAGTCTTCTCTCTGTTTGCTTATTATGCAATGAAGAGATGTTCTCCTTGGGGAGGATTATGCTGTTTCATCTCATATGTTTAGCTCTCTTGGGGGAGCTCAGCACTTCATGGGCGGAAGATAGGCTTGTGAATCCATCACAGCTGGAAATGTTTGTGGATGAGCTTCCAGATATGCCCAAAATCCAAGGTTTCGATGTAGTGAATGGTTATCCCAAATCTAAGTCACTGACGATTGGAATGTTCATGAAGAAATGGGTAAGTATTTCTTTCTTATCATTCACAATTCCTTTCTTGATTTTCCAGTTCAAATCTTGCAGTTTCTCTGCCTTGTTGATTTACGTATTAAGTATAACAGTCCCCTTGGTGTCCTTCAAAGTCTAACAAGGACGCCCAAGTTTGAGGGCAGTGGGTGCCCTGTAGCTCAACTCTGCAACTTCGATACCAGATCAAGTTAATTGCATCTTTTCAAATTATGCATGTTAATATTTATAAACAATTTAGGTTAAACCCGCAAGTATTCATAATTTTTAAACAATGTTTTAGTATTTTAGTTTTTGGAAAGAATATTATTACAAGGCAAACCAGAGAACGGAAACAGAGGAATCGAGTCTCTCATGCTACAGCAACAACAGGAAAAGGAAAAAGAGGAAGTCTCTTCCTCTGTCTCCTTACCTACCCGCTCTCCAAAACTATTGCAAATTCATATATTGACACAAGTATTAACCACCAATTATAGTTAAGATAAAAAGGGGTACTGTGATGACTGCTTCCTACTATCTGCGACCCTATGGCCAGTTGGACAAGATGCTTTCCCACCTCGAAAAGTAAAAGGTAGACAGTGAACAGAGTGATGCTTCGAATTTTATCTTTTCTAGACACTATCTTTTTTTTCACAATTTCCTCATCTTTGTAGCTTGCCAAAAAAAACCAATGCTCAACTCAGGTGTAGTGCTGAGGGGCTTGCCCAATATGTTATCACAAGCTTCTGGTTTTGGGGGTGGGCGGATGGAGGCTTTTTCCATTTTAATAAGTTATGAGCTGTATTCCTACCATACATGGTTCAATTAATTAATTAGTTTTAAATTTTAATGGTTAGTCCCATTCAGTTTGCCAGCTCTTTGCTCGTTTCTTTTTAGTTTGGGTTCAATTACACATTGTTTACCGCTAGCTTCTTTCAACAAAGTAATCAAAGGAAGTTGGTAAATCCGAGGAGGAGATGTTTATTTTTTCTGCAAATTGTCTCTGTTGGAAGTATTTAATTCTTCTTTAACCAAGAACAATATTGTATTCAAAGAGAATTGTCGTACACGAATGAGGAATTACTCTTTCCGTATATGTTTTTCGGAGAAACCAAAATTTTGGTTGTGATTGTGAAACATCATAACCGAACTCATCTTGTTTGTTGCCTTCTGCTTTGCAGAAATTCCACAGGGACCTCCCTCCGACGCCAGTGTTTGCCTACGGTGCATCCTGGAGCACTGCAACAGTACCTGGCCCAACCATCGAGGCCCTCCACGGCATTGACACTTATGTCAAGTGGCAAAATCACCTCCCTCCAAAGCACATACTGCCATGGGATCCGACAATCCCAACCGCCGTCCCTGCCACCAAGAAGGGAGTTCCAACTGTAGTGCACCTCCATGGTGGCATCCATGAACCCGCCAGTGATGGAAACTCAAACTCATGGTTCACCGCTGGATTTAAAGAAAAGGGACCCACCTGGGCTAACGAAACATATCACTACAACAATAACCAACAGCCTGGAAATTTATGGTATCATGATCATGCCATGGGATTGACCAGAGTCAACCTATTGGCTGGCCTGATTGGGGCCTATGTTCTTCGCCATCCTGACGTTGAGGGCCCACTTAAACTTCCCCATGGTGACGAATTTGATCGACCTTTGCTCGTGTTTGATCGTAGCTTTCGCACAGACGGTTCCATATACATGAATTCCACAGGAAATAATCCCTCTATACATCCACAATGGCAGCCCGAATATTTTGGTGATATAATCATAGTAAACGGCAAAGCATGGCCGAAGATGATGGTACGACGTCGTAAATACAGATTTCGCATAATCAATGCCAGCAATGCTAGATTCTTCAGATTCTTCTTCACGAATGGCTTGGAATTCATTCACGTGGCAGCTGACTCAACTTACCTTGGGGAACCTGTAGTGACCAATGAAACTCTGCTGGCACCATCAGAGATTGCTGACGTGGTCGTTGACTTTTCAAAGTCAGAGACTGATGACGCTATTCTAGCTAATGACGCACCGTACCCTTACCCGTCGGGTGACCCAGTGAATGAATCAAATGGCAGAGTCATGAAATTCATCATCCAGAAAAATCAAGAGGTTGATGCGTGGCGAGTACCTAATATATTGATAAAATATCCTTCCCCGGATTTATCTAGTGTCAGGGAAACGCGATACATAGCAATGTACGAGTACACCAGTGACATAGGTGAGCCGACGCATCTTTACATCAACGGAAAACCGTATGAAGCGCCGGCGACGGAGACCCCTAAAGCGGGGACCAGTGAGATTTGGAATGTGATTAATCTGACGGAGGATAATCATCCGTTGCACATTCATTTGGGACTATTTTCAGTGTTGGATCAGACGGAGCTGGTGAATGAAGAGGAGTTCAAGGGATGCATGTCCAAAGAGAACGACGCGATCAAGTGCCATATAAGCAAGCATGCGCGAGGCAAGAAGGTAGAGGTGCCAGCACATGAGAAGGGATGGAAGAATGTTTATAAGATGACACCAGGATTTGTGACGAAAATACTGGTTAGGTTTTCTTATATTCATTCCAACTCTTCATATTCATTTGATCCAACCGCACACCCTGGTTACGTCTATCATTGCCATGTAAGTATATCACCTCTCCCCTTTATTTTATTCATTTTCAAACATGGTATTGATATAATTAAATAATAAACTTAAAATTGATTGCGCAGTTCAATGAAAAACCTTTGGTAGTCAGGTGGGTACCTGCATATATATTTTTCTGTCAGGATTAGCCAATGAAGAATTACTCAGATCTGTCCTTTTGCCTGCCAATATATATTCACGAGTTGCTCTATAAAATCCAAATTGCAAAATTTATTTTTATCAAAAGTTTCTTGACAGAATTCAGTCTTGGCACATGCAGATCTTGGATCATGAAGATAATGTGATGATGAGGCCCATTAAGGTGATCAAATGAGAAAGGCTACAGAAAGATCATTCCAGGGGAAACCTAAGTACGGTGATTATGTCAAAAGCTGATACAATTTTTGTCCTTTTACCATTGAATATTTTAGTTTCCTTCTTCTCTTATTTTCATTTTAACACGGATGCAGGAACTCTATTTACAAGCAACATCTGAAGGACTCTGGCAATTCTAAAGTTGTTAATATTCATGAACTTGAGTTCTTCAATAATTAGTGCTACAAATGGAAGAAATTTTATCAACATATTGACTACATAGAAGCTGATGTTAAAGTGTACAATTGTGGGGGATTTTGGTTCAAAATAAAAGCCAGCAATAGCTTTATGATCTAGCTAGAAATGTTATTTTGGTCAATGATGACCTAGAAATGCTGTCAATGTGTGGTTTATGCTCTTTATTGTATGCTAAATACTCTAAGATCTTTCCGAGGTTATCAATTTCATTAAAATAGGATTTAAAATGAGTCCCAATGAATCATGTTATTATAGCCGACCACATTCTATTACGTACAGCACTGATCTCCGACCATTGTTGAGTCTTTTTCTCTCAATTCACAGATACCTTTAGACTCAAATCACTCAGGTTAAAAACTCGACTCATGTACGTTTCCAAAGAGTCCAAATTAACATTTTTTTTCCAGCTCAATTGAGTGACTTATGACCTCTTAAAATTAGCTATATTGCAGGGTGCGCGAGAAAGCTCTCAAGACTTTCCATAAATGGTTTTCCTTCAATTTCAAGCCATTCAATCGGCCCAAGCACTTAACCTAGCTCTATATTTTTCTTCTTAAGCTGGTTTAAATATGTATATACTTGATTTTGGTTAATATTTGTTCTCTAAAAAATTATTTTACAATGTAATCTTCAGAACAATCAAAACGTGTGAAATACTTCTTCACACATAACAACTAAAATAAGTGAAGCACTACTTTAATCAAAACAATTAGAATAAGTGAAGCACCACTCTATATGGAACAACTAATACAAGTAGAACAGTTATTTCACATAAAATAATTATTTCACATGGATAACAGTGAAAATAATCTGAAATAAGTGATAGGGTTCATAAGTTATTTTCATGTTGAGTTGTTCTATAGAGATTGGCTTGATAGTTCAGATATAATAGTAGTTAAGAGGTTTTTCTCTTAACTTTTTCTTGAAGTACAAGTATTTTACTTTCCTACCTTATTCTAGTGTACTTGTTCATGTACACCTTCTTCTTTTATACATGTTCATATACATCTTTTTTTCTAAACTTTTTCTCATATAGCTTTTCTTGTATATATTTTCTCTATTACCTTCTACTCGATAACAAGTTTTATTGCATCTAATTACTTCAACGGTCACTCACATTATATGTCATAAAATCACCACCTTAATGTCCACATAATGTGTTATAGTAACGTTACTTCCATTAAAACTCTTCATAATAACGTCATTTATTAGGCGTATTAAAACCTATTTTTTGAGTAGCCATCACTTTTGGCACTATATATAGAGCATCACAATTCATTTAGGGGCTTCTCATCCCTTGGAAAGCTAACACATTCTCCTCCATAGCTTCTCTCTTTAATTCTCTTTTTATTCTTTTTCACTTACCAAAATATTTAGTATTTCAGAAACTACTCTGATCTTCCTCTCCATCACCTCCGACTCATCTTTTATTTGTTTGCAACACTTCCTCTCCCTATCATAAGAACCCCCTTCACAATGTGCAATTTAAGATGATGGACATGGACGAATAAGTCAAAAGTCAAATGCAAAACCCTAATTCATACTTTATATAAACCCTTGTTAATTACCTTTTAGTATTTCAAGCAATCTTCGTTAGAAAAAACCGTAAATGGCTAAGGGACATTCTTTACTAACTTTCTTTAGACTCGTCACTCTTTCCTTTTTGCCCTTTGTTGGCCGTTACCTCTTTGTCGACTACTGCTTTTCTTTTCTTTGCAGTTTGTCGCTTTTCTTTTCTCTACCGTGATTGTGAGCTGCCATTGTCATCATCGTCATTTTTCTTCTCTTTGTCGTGAGCATTTTGCCTCTTCACCGTGAGCATATCTTTTTTTCTTTGTCGTGATTTAGGTTTATAATTATAAATTGTAGTTTGTAATAAGATTATTTGGGTTTATAATTTTGTAGTTTGTAATTGATGCTTGCAACATTATGTTTGCAATATTTTATAAATTGTAGTTTGTAATTAGATTATTTGTTTGGGTTTATAAATTGTAGTTTGTAATTGATGCTTGCAACATTGTATTTATCCGAACCCCCCATGTACCTTACGTTTTTATAGTGTTATAGATGTTATAAATATATTTAAACTCATTTAAAAGTTTTAATTAGAAAAAAATGTGATTTGGTAGGAAATCGTTCCTCATACGGAAACTCTTCATGACTTGCATATTGAGAGGATTTCCACCAAATTGCCCTATTGTCAATTACTATTAAATTTTAAAATTAAATTAAACTTGAATAATCAATTATTATTAAAATTTAAGGTTCATTGAACTGTTATAAAACATTAGTATTTCCTTTTGTTTCTTTTTATAGTATTTTCAACATTTGTATTAATCTTTTTCAAATCATCAAATGTCAAAATTAACTAGGGCATGTATCAAGTCCTGAGTGGACCAAAAGTCAACCAAATGTTGTTACTATATCCCTTTCACTAATATATAATTTTTTAAATATTATTAAAAACAAAGTAAATAATAAAAATTTAAATCATATTCGATTAAGAAAAAGTTAATAATTAAAATTTAATACTTGAGAAGTAATAATTGCGACGTAGTCTGTCTAATGGAGTCTAGAAGAAACTTTGTGGAGATGGAATGGGTGAGGTTGATTACAGGAATGGACTCTTGTTTAATTGTGGATGCAGTGGGACAAGCTGGTTGACTTGCAGTATTGTGGAAAAAAGGTATGGATATTATTATTAAATCTTTTTATAAAAATCATATTGATTCTGAGATTGCATGGGGAGAATTGGAGGTTGACAGGATACTATGGTTACTCAAACGCATTGGAAAGATGGAAGAGTTGGGATCTTCTTAGATTACTGAGTTCACAGTCATAGATCCCATGGCTATGCTTGGGTGACTTTAATGAAATTATATTTGATTATGGAAAGGAGGGTGGTACAGAGAGATCAGAAATACAAATGAGGGAGTTTAGAGATGTTTGTGCTGAATGTGATTTGGGAGACTAGGGTTACTGGGGTTCACTGTATACATGGTGGAATAACAAAGAGGAAGAGGAATTTATCAAATGCAGACTTGATAAGGTAATGGCGTCAATTCCATGGTGTGATAAATTTCCTCTTGTGGCAGTCTTTAATGAAGTGGTGGGCGCATCAGATCACTTGGCTTTAAGGGTCAATTTGTTTCATGTCAAGAATGTTAGATGGAAGAGGAAGTTTCATTTAGAAGCAACTTGGGTACATGATGTAAGTTTGGAGATATTAATTTTAGAAGATTGGCGTAGTATGGATCATGGCCCTGAAGATTTTATGGGAAACTTGGAGAGAAGAGAAAATGAAGATGTTTAAAAGTAATCCTTTGAATGAGGTACACATAAAAATTTCGAAAAAGGCAAAAGAGCTTCAACATGTTTGTGATTTGATGGCTCCAATAGGGATGATAATAGGTATCCTATTATAGGGTATTTGCGGATACCCAACTTAATTATATAAGGTTAAATTACTCTTTAATTAGGTTTGAGATGAGTTTGGATAGTAATTTCACTATCTATATTGGGTTCGGGTAGAGTTTGGGTACCACCCCTTTGCTACCCAATACTTGAATTTGATTATATTTTCTTTTTAATTTCATGTAATTAAAGATAAATCTATACTGTTAATTAACCTAATTTATGAAACCATGATTATTAATTAACTTGTAATGTGTTTTAATAAATATACTCTATGTATTATATTAATTTATAAGGAATATAATTACTATTCTATATATATGTTAAATATAAATACATTTACTTTTTATTTTGTGTTAATAGTACCAAATTATAATTTATAAAATTATTTATTATAATATATATACCTAAAGCGAATTGGTGAGATTAGAATAGTTTTGTAACCTACTTAGTTTTTTCTTTAATTTCATGTAATTAAAGACAAACTCATATAGTTAATTAAACTTGTAATATTGTTATCTTATTGTAAATTTGTAATGTTGTTTAAGTTGTAGTTTGGATATTTGTTTTTAGTTATTTAAATTGATATTTGAGATATTTATTTTTTAGTATTTAAATTTAAATTTTATTATTTGTGTGCTTTTATAAATCTAATTATTAGTAAATTATATTGAATATAGATGAAAAATATTATTATATATGGATACGGATTTATTTTTGGGTAATTAGGTGCCTATAGAAAGCATTTAATAATTTTTTAAAATTACTGAGTATTTAAATGAGTTTGGGTAATTATCGAGTAATAAGTATGTATTAGGATTTGGGTTAAAGTAATAAATTTAAAAATATTCAAGTAGTTGTAGGTTTTGGGTATCCTATTTATTAATGTGGTTAGAGTGTCTTAAAAAATTAATGGGTACCCTAAGCGTTTGTCACGGACAGCAGTTCAGCACATTAGAGGTGGCCTGAGGGTGTTTCGAAGTACCGATATATGGGGGAGTATTGCTGGGAGAGAACCCCCACTGGTTAGCAGAAGACAGGTGCAGGGTGCCCAGCAGGGGCGCGCAGCACAGACCCTTGGGCGAGCCAGCCTGCGCAGAGCCAGGCAAACTGCGCTCGGGTGGCCCAGGCGCGTCGGCCCACACAACAGGGGTGTGCGGCATGCAAGTCGAGGGCCACAGGCCCGCACAGCATGGGCACGTGACACGAAAAAGCTCTAGGTGCGCTGGCCCCCAAGCAGGTGGGTGATGGGCACGTCGGCCTGCATGGCACCCAAACAGATTGCCCGCGCGCGGCCCGCACGCACCAACGCTCAGACACACAGCCTGTGCGTCGCCAGATCCACCAAGAGGCCAAAAATGATACCGGCCCACTACACCAACCCTTTTAATGGCTTGAGCTACTGAAATTTTAGTTTCCCTCTTAAAAATGTTTGGAGGGAATTATTTTGGAGGAAACTCTTTTGGAGGGAACTCTTTTAAAGAGAAATTGGCTATAAATAAGTCCTTGTAGTAATGTCATAGAATACAATTCTTAACCTTTCTTTTTCACTCTCAAAAATTCTGCAGCCCTTTCCTCTCTTCCCTTCTCTTTTCCGCAAGTTTGCTTGCTGGCTTGAAGCCTACTGTGTGCGTATGCGTGTGACGGTTGACCGAAAAGCAATGTGCTGAGTGTGAGTGTGCTGAGTGCTTGCTGGACGGGTAATGAGCACTAAGTTTGATTTGGGTTCTAGTATCGAGATAAAAGGTCAAACTCAAGACCGCACGGTGGGTGGTTTGAAGAACCACCCCGTGGCACGTTGACTTCCTTAGGCTCCAACCTTTGATCTTGTAGAGTTCAAAAGTAGGCAAGATGAGCTAAACAAGTTAGTCAAAGATGAAGAATTGATGTGGAAACAAAAGGCAAGAGTGGATTGGCCCCAAAATGGTGACAAAAATATGAAGTTTTTTCATCACAGAGCAACAGAAAGAAGGAAGAAGAATACCATTTAGGCATAAAAATAGATAATGGAGAGTGGGTGGAGCGGCAAAAAGATGTGCATATGGAGATTAATGAATTCTTTTCAAAGTTGTGTGCGACATCTCAACCTTCTTTGATTGATGAAGTGTTAGATAGAGTGCATTCAAGAGTTGATGATGGGATGAATGAGAGATTCATAGCCGAAATTAGAGGAAGTAAAGACTGTATTGTTTTAGGTGAATCCTTTGAAGGCTTCAGGACTCGATAGGTCGCCTGCTTTGTTCTTTCAAAAATATTGGCATGTTTTAGGGGATGAAGTACACAAATTTGTTGTCGATTGTTTAGATGGAAGAATTGATCTTGGTGAGTTTAATTACAAATTCATTTCTCCGATCTCGAAAATATGTCAACCTGAACAAGTAAGTCAATTCAGACCCATCAGTGTATATAATGTGATTTATAAAATTGCATCAGAAGTGCTCTCTAATCGGTTGAAAGTCTTACTCCCATGTATTGTATCTAAGAATCAAAGTACTTTTGTGCCTAGAAGCCTAATATCTGATAATGTGCTAGTGGCGTACGAGAGCACTCATTACTTGCATAACAAAAGACAGGGGAAAGTGAGTAATATTATAATTAAATTAGATATGACTCATCAATGGTAATTCAAAAGATATAATTATTCTTTCGAGAGGCCTTCGTTAAGGAGAGTCGTTATCACCGTTCCTGTTTGTCCTTGTTACAAAAACATTCTCAACCATGTTGTCCTTGGCTAAAAGTAACAAGAGCATTTCGGGAGTGGAGGTAAGTAGAGGTGGTCCCAATGTTACCCATTTATTTTTTGTTGATGACAGTTTGATTTTTGGAAAGCCAAAGTTGCAGGAAATTTTGGCATTGAAGCATTCGGGAAACATTTGGTGGAGAGTCAAGAACTTGTTAAGAATTTGTATTTTCTGGACATTATGGAAGGCACAGAACATCTTAGTTTTCAAGTAGGAAATAATGCACCCATTAGCAGTGATTGAGCTGGGTCTTAACATGGAATGGCAATTTAGTGAGGCAAATATGTCCACAAGAGTTAATCAACATGGGGCGGCGAATGCTGTGCGCAAATAGAGGAAGCCCACTAGTATCAAAGTTAATGTCGATGTTGCCATTTTTAAAGCTAACCAAATGGTGAAAGTTGGCGCGGGTTTCATAGTTAGGAATAACTACGGTATAGTGGTGCTTTTTGGGTTGAATGTTTATTCACAAGAGTTGTCCATTGTAGAAGTCGAGCTGAAAGGCTTTATCTGGGGCATTGTTTATATGCGATCAGCAGCAATTAAGGCTAGATGAGGCAGAGATGGATTGTCAACAAGTTGTCAAAGGAGGTGGGTGATAGGTGCGGTACGAGCAGATTAAGCCATATAGTTGAGGATTGCTGCACGTTAACGGAAAAGTCTCCTTGCAAACAAATTAATTATTGTTTAAAGGATGTAAATCAAGCAGCTTATACAATTGCACATTATGCTAAGCATACTTAGGAGGGTATCTTATTATGGGATAATTGTATGGAGTTGCTGTCCAGTGTTAGTTGAGTTGCTCGTCAGGATGAGGAATATATTTGTGTTCTATTGATGTTAATTGAATTAAAATGAGTGTATATTAGGTAGGGTACTCTTTTTTTTCTTCTTGTGCGTTTTTTGTCCAACTAGATTTTACCATTGTGGAGTTATTATGAGTCACTGAGACTGATGTAATGATTTCATGATTTGGTCTTTACTGAAATGCGCCTTATTTTAAAAAAAAAAAAAAAATCAAAGTAAAAATAAAAAAAAAGTCCAAAAAATGTTATGAGGGGCTAGACCGTCAATCCACTTGCATTATCTTCCTTCTTGCCTCTTGGTTTAAAAGACGCAGTAGTCACGGCTAGCATAACATTCCATTTTTCCGCCTTAAATGGCAGCAGCCACAGCTCTCCATCTATACCGTACGTCGCTGCCCACCCATAATCTATTCATTACCAAATCACGACCGCCCATTCGGCCAAGTATCACCTGCTACGCTCCGTACTCCATAAACAAGGTCAGTGACTTCATTTTCTTAACGGAAATTTTCAAAAGAATTTTCCTTTTCTTTTTGATAGCACATACGTATAATTTCTGAGGAGTGTTTTTTTTTCCTGGGTTGGGGTTGGGATTCAGTGTAAGAGGGACTATGTAAGCGTAATGATAGTGCCAACGGGAGTGGGCGCCAGCATTGGAGGGTTTGCTGGCGATGCTCTGCCTGTTGCTCGCGCCTTATCCTCCGTCGTTGATTGTCTCATTTCACATCCTAACGTAAGACTTTTCTTTTTTCTTTTTTTTAGCGCTAGAAATAAATTTAATGCTAATGTAGAGGTATGGAATTATTTATTAAAATTCTGCAGGTTCTTAATGCGGCAATGTTATACTGGCCCATGCCTAATGTAATGTACGTTGAAGGTTATGCGCTGGACAGATTCGCACAAGGCTTATGGGCTCTGCAACCTGTTCATCAAAACAAGGTTTTTTTTTACCCAATTCTCAAATACTCATGCCTAGCTTGTTTTAATCATGCCCCTTTCAAGTTCAATTGTCACATTTGAGTTTCTTGGTATGCAAATTAATAAAGAACTTTGAATTTGTTTAATCATAATATTAAAACTTTAAAACAGATGTTCAGTAATTTTTAATGCTAAACATTCATATAGAACTGGAAAAAGTAAGAGTTTAGACTTTTGAGTGTTCACAATAAAAAAACACATAATTTTGGGACATTTTAAAAAGAAAGATGACTATTCAATTTGAGATGGGATATAATAAGCATTATAACTCTGATATGTTCTATATCTGGTTGTTGTTAGTGGCTAGCATTTAACTGTACTGAGCTTTGATTTGATGCAGGTGGGATTGGTTCTTGATGCTGGCATAGAAGAGTACCTTCGAATCCGCCATTTGCAAGTGGCTGACGCCTCAAGGGCTTCCCTTGGATTGCCAGTTGTTGAATATGTTGTCACTGACACCCCATTACAGGTACCAATTTGATTTTGCTTTGAAGAGATATTTAGGTGTTGAACTTAATCTGCCATTTGTGAAAATGAAAAATAAAAAGTTTCAGGCTCAAATGTTTTAGGGATAATTTTTGTGCTGATTCGTTGTGTCAGCTGAAGGTTGGAGTTGGCATGTCACTGTGTAATATTGTTGTTGTTGATCTTAGTTGGAGAAAATTTGACTTTATAAAGTTGAAAGAAGAGAATAATTTGATGTTCTATAAACTAAAACAAGTTTTGCAGGTGGAAAAGTGGGTCAATCCAACAACTGGGCAATCAACAGGTAGGATTAAACACCCTAATTCTTTACTGCAGGCTGTTAAGAACTTAGTCAAACGATCGCAAGTGGATGCTGTTGCGGTTGTTGGGCGTTTCCCAGATGATGAAGTTGATGATCTTGATGACTATAGACAAGGAATTGTAAGGCAATTATTCTTCTCCTTGACATTGTGAGTAAGGTGTAAAGAATCTATTATGTTTACCATTTGGAAGTTCTGGTATATGTGCACAAAGAAGGTGGAAGTTTCTGTGATTTTTTTCTTTGCTGAAAACTCCAACTTTGCAGCTGCAATCAGTTGTTTTGTTTATAAATTTATTCAAATTACCTGAGAATTAGCATGGTTTGAAGTCTTCTAAGTAGTTTTGATATTTTTGGCTTTTGAATGTCACAGATAAAAGAATAGATGCTAGTAATGCTGCTCTTTTTCCCTTTATTCTCAACTTTCTTTTTGTCTTGTTAGTAAGTCGTTGGTGATTTGATTTGCATTGGAATTAATTTTAAATGATCTCTCTGTACCCATGAGCTTAGCTTGAGACATGGCTATATTTGCCTTACACTTACAAAGTGTATTAAGTTAAATAAGCATTATTGATGTTTAACATGTACTCTCAAACAATAACACTCCAGTGATAGTATAAAAATCTGTATGAATATCTCCAAAATCTCAAGAATTCTCAAAGTCTAAATATCAAAATATCCAAAAGTCAACATCTCATAAATCAGAACCTGCTAGAAAGTGAAAGAACATAGGTTTTTCATAAGCTAAACCCTAATAGTTGAGAAATAAGCAAAATATGAACTAATAAAATAACCCAAATTATCTAAAATATCTTAAATTTATGTAAAATAATTACAATTAAACCCATAAAATATTAAATAATTTTATTCTTCAAATGGCTTGCCTTCCATCCTGCATGGATCATTCTTGTATGTGGTTTTCTCTTGTTAAGTTCAATTAGCTACCAATTCCTTTTTCATGTTTAAATTAAAAGGGATGGCAGATACTGCTAATGCCACTTATGAAGGTTGATACGGTTTTGATTTGGTTTTTATTTGACTCTTTATCATGCACACGCTTCCAGGGAATAGATATATTGGCTGGAGTGGAGGCAGTAATAAGTCATCTTGTGGTGAAGGAATTTCAGATACCTTGTGCACATGCGCCTGCACTATCTCCCCTTCCCTTGACCTCATCGCTTAGCCCAAAATCAGCTGCTGAGGAGGTTTGTGAAGCTTGAGGAAAAGAAGTTTTGCTCTCTCCCTTTCTACATGTGCGTGTGCATGTTTATGTGTGACTGGGTGTTTTCTTTTTCATTTTTCTTTCGTGGGTTTGGCATGTGAACTTAAGTACAGCATAAGCCATTTCTTACTATTCTTGAGTAACATATCTTCTTAGAAAAACATGCTATCTTTAGGAGCTGTCCTCTTCAAGATGTTAATTATTTCTTGCTAATCAATTTAAAGAACTAAGCCCTTAATTGGTGGTTGTTTTTAACTTACAGAAGCCAAAAACAAGTAGCAAAAGTAACAGTCAAATGGAGCCTGAATTATTAATAAATAAACTAAAATAGATGGCAAAAGGGCCAAAATACATTGTGGATGGAAATATTTTGAAGGTTGATTGATGAAATATTCATTGATTAAGCCAATAAAAATTAGAAAAGATGAAAAAGGGTGTATGCCATGTTCACAGATTTGAGTAACAAAGCTTATGAACGCTATTGTCTTTTGATGGCATCAATAAGTTTCTTTTTCTTAGTAATTGGAATAAGGGAGGGTTTGAAAGCATAATGCTATAACATGGGAAATAAATAAATAGATTAGACAATGCAAAAGAAAACATATGGTGGATTATTCTGCCAATTTCTGTGTGAATATTCATGGATACAAACTTTTCACAAACACATGTATGCATGCAGGAATGCACTCTCCTGCACACTTTTATGCTTATGTCTATTCCAATCCTTTTGAATAGATAGGATACTCATTTTTGCCATGTGTGCTTGCGGGGCTAAGTAACGCACCACAGTACTTGGTTAAAAACCCTGAATTCTTGGAGAAGGGTTGTATCTTGGCAAGTGATGTTGACAGCGTTATTCTTCCAATAGATGCTTGTGCAGGAGATGCTGCTCTTGCTTTTGCAAGAAACAAGAAAAATAAGGTACTAATTTGAAGGCAAACTTTTTATGTTTTTCCTTTTCTGGTTCAAAATGGCTGGCAAATTCATTAAAGAGAAATATGCTTTAGCATTTTTGGTATCTTACTTTTTTGATCAACCAAAACATCTTCTAATTTTAACCATGATAATTTTAATTAGCTTCAATTAAAATATAATGACAGTCCTTCTTTCTTCTCTCCCCTCCCCTTGTCACCCCTTTCCAGCCTCTAATAATCTGTGTGGAGGAAAATGAAACAGTTCTGAATGACACTGCAGATAAACTTGGGATCAAAGTGGTATGCATCTAATTCTTGGCTCAATTTTTTTGTTTTCAATTTCTTTCTGTTTTCATTCAATAGTTTTCTTTAGAGAGGTTTTTGATAGAAAGGATGCTCATATTAACAGCCTCTTTCTGTTTTAACTGCCTGGTTTAATTTCTGGTTCAGTAGCTAGGTATTCAGGTTTGGGAATTAAAGGTGGTTGTAGAGGTTCCTTGGGGTGACTCAAGGCACATGTTCTAAACTATTCTTTCGTGTGCCTTGAACTCATTAAACAGCAGATTTTGTGCATTTGCATAAAATGTTGTGGTGTCAGATTTTGCAATTAATTTAAATGCAAAATTTTATTTACTTCTTGAGAAGTGCCATGTAAGCTGTATAACCTTGGAAAGCTTTATAAGCCTAATTTGCAACATTTTAAACAGTTCATGGATCATGTAATATCGATATTTACTATCATAGTTATGTTTTAGTAAATACATCATGGTTGTGTTTGGAACTTGAATGTTAAATGGAGGATTTGGATTTCAAATTAGTGTAAACTTGTGCACTTATGATTATATTTTCAAATATGTGGTTTGTTACATCTCTATTAAGTAGTGAATTTGCCTTTCAAAAAAAAAAATAGTGAATTGGAAATGGTTGGATAATAAAGTGAATTTGAAATTCATCTCATGCTCTCACAAATAGTACTTCGGTATTTTTAAATCTTTTACAGTCGATACATAATATGTGTAGTCATCATCACATTTTCTGTAACAAATAAAATCCAAATTCATGTTGTAAAATAAGGCATATAAGTCTTTCATTAGCTTAGTTTAATATGCCTCCTTCAGTTTTAATTGCCTCCATCAACCTTACAACAGTGGTGAGTTATTGTCTCTAGAAACACCTATTGTTGAAAAAGATTGTTTTCCATTGAGTTTGCTTCTCTAAAGTTAAGGAAAGAAACCTTCTCAATCCTTTGAGTGCATAATTTTATTCTGTTAAACAAGGCAAACTAGTTTCAGGGTTTATCAAAATTTATTCTGATGAAGATTTTTTTCCTTGAAATGGAAAGAGAGATGCATTAAGAAGCCATCATTTGTTTACAAATCAAGTGCAAGCATTTCAATCAGTTAATGCAGTGGAATCATAGTTAGTGTTAAAATCAAAAGCATAAACACTTGATAACAATAGCAATGACATCTTTTGTGCAGGTCCAGGTCTCAAACTATTGGGAAGCTATAGGTGTTATTGCAGCTCATAAGGCAGGAATAGACCCAAATTCTCTCCGTAGAAACAGAATTGATAACATTAACTGCTCTTCCATTGTCCCGGCTAATGGCTTTGCAGTTTCAAGAGCTACATCCATCACTTAATCATAAAAATATGGACAGTGTTCGTTGAAAACTGAAGGTATGTGTTGAATGAAGCCATCATTTTTTGATTCATATCACACTTGGTACAAGAATTTTTGTTTCTTTCCAGCATCTTTTGGGTGTGACCTCAATTGAATATAAAATATTCGTAGGTTGAAAATTTTTATTGTTACATGTATGATACAGTGATATTTGTTTGCCAAAAATAATGTCCAAGTAAATTCAACGTGCTGAAACGTTTATGGTTTGGTTGAAAGGTGATTCAATATTCATGCTATCAAGTCATGTGAGTTGGTAAGAAGCACCGTGATTGGCTTTTGCAGCTCCAAAGTTGAATCTGAAGCTATCACTTTGGAAGCATCATTGCAATTTGACAGGAAGTACCAATATTCAACCACTGGTGAGAGGTTGTTGAGAAATGTTGTTCTGTTTATGATGGAACATAAAACTGTAAGTCAATGCAACGACTGCCTTATACTGGTTAGTAAAATAGTTTAACTTGATGAAGATGCAGTATACTTTTTTTTCTTTTATCAGATTGGCTTAATACTTATGCTATGATTGTTTCCAGAGGCAGCAGTGCCTGTGACAAAGCTTATATGATACTGACCCTGCATAGAATTCAGACCGTAGGGTTTAACCACAGCTATTGCCTTTACAAAGTAGCTAAAGCCCAGATATTTTGGTTTGTCCTCTGCATTATGGTCATGTAGAACGATTAAGGCAGCACTTTGGAATTAGGATATATAATACATTACAAGCATCTAAAGTATTTCAAATATATTGTTCATAAGCTTGCTTTTTCAGAAGAGAGGGTAACCTAGTTAGGGTTCAACAAATCTCCTAATATGGAAATTTAAATATTTGAAAATTTCAACCATGTTGATGTAAGTGATTACATTGTCAATGGCAGCTAACATCGCCCTTTGACAGTATACTAGAAAACTTATATGATTTACATATCTCAATTTTATTGATAATTTTTCAGTGTTTTGAATATTAGATTGGATCTGTGGATGGGAACGGTTCAATTGGAAATCGTTGCCTTATTTGGTTATGAAGGAGTAACTAAACTAGAGGGATGTCAAACTGGTCAAGAATCGACCAATCCTCTGATAAAACCGGATAGAACTGGATTTGTATCAATTTTAGTCAATTAGCAGGAGATACATGTGTTTCGCCTGAAAACCACAAAATTCTTCCTTGGTTTCAGTTTCTACTCCTTTTTCTCTTCCTTTGGAGTATTTCCTGTGCTTCACGTGCTCCAAAACAAATTAAAACAATTAGTATTTGATCAACACAAGCTAAAATAAACAAGAAATCAAATCAAAATCAAACTAAATAATCAAACCTAAGAACATTAGGTGTTAGTAGGCATTCAAGTCATCGATATAAACAGTAATTATGACAAATTCAAATCCAAATCTTTTTATAAAAATACATAAAGATATAAAATTATTTTTATAGCATTCTTTCAACAAATATTTATTAAGATGATTCACTAAGAAAATTATAATACACGCGTACAAATTGTTTTAATCCATATAAGTATTTATTTAATTTCATTGAATAAATTATTCAAGAATTATATGTTTCAAGCAATTTAAATCCTTCAAGGATTTTGATATAGATATTGATATCAATTGAGCCATAAGAATAGGTTGTAGTTACATTCATTAGACATGTTTCAATCTACTCATACATTGCCAGATTAATTAAATATAGAAATGCAATTGCGTAGGTCTTTGGGTAAACTTTTATGCAACAAGTCGTGTTTTATATTTCACAATTTCATTTTTTTTATTTTCTTTTCTCATAAATACCCATTTAGATCTTACTCATTTTATATTATTTGTTGTATGAATTATAAGTTTAAAAATTTCTCGTTTTGCAAATGAATTCAATTCACATCGGCTAATCATTTCTATTATTGACATTTATTTCATTCCAATTTCATCTTTTTCCTGTCATGATATAATTTATTGAGATTCCTATATTTTTATTGATTTTAGGTACATAATTTTTTTTTGGAATTCTATTAATTATGTTAAGGTCTTTTATGGAGTTTTTGTTTCCTATTTTTGAGCATCTTGAATATTTGTTCTTTTTTTTTTCAAGAATCTTTATTTTCTGAACCAGTCTTTCACACTTGTGGCACGCCTCCTTAGATCGAGAACTTTTTAATTAATAAAAAAATTAATAAAATTATATAATAATAATTTTAAAAATTAATTAAGGATAAAATTATATTTTTACCCTTACCATATCATCAAGTTAATGGATATGCTAACGGTTGACGAACAGTTATGCCTTTGTGTCTAACGAAAAATATTTTTTTAAATGAAGTGTCCATTTTGAAAGCCAATAAACTTCCGTGTAATTTCGATCAAAACTTATAAAATAAAAATATTCATATTATGAGAATAATGATTAGTATAACTACCACAATTGCAATAATTATATTGATATTTTTCATGTCTATGGCTATAATTATTAAATGATATTGCATTCACTTCAGTTTATAATTTTTCATTAATCGTTTGTTACTTTGTTTAACAACAAAAAGACAAGAAATCCATATTTTGTTAACTACAAAAAGACAAGAAATCCAAAACAAAACATATTTTTGATTATCCAAGTACAATATTTTCCACTTATTACAAAAATAGATATCATATAGGGTCAATTTCATATGCTTAATTCAAAATATTTTATATAAAATTTTATAATATCAAAAATAGATTTACATATGTTACGTAAATTCATAGTTAGAATTCAACAAAAAAATCATATTCTAAAATTAGAACAAAGATACTATATATAACATATATTTTAATACTCAAGCTGATTTAACAAATCAAGTGAAAACATATGATAAATACTACAAAATAGTAAAATTTATATTAAGGTTTATTTTTAGAGAATGAAAACACCAAAAGGGAATCAACAAAAAATTGATGTATTGTGTAAAACATATTCCAACATCAGAATAAAAAGATCATATATAATTATATCTATTTATGTGCTCAATCTTATTTAATAAATCAAGGATTAAAATATAACACATACTATATGATAGCAAATTCTCATTTCAATTTAATAAATAAAAGAACAAAATATTATACATACTATATGATAGCAAATGCACATTAAAGTTAATTTTTAGAGATGAAAACTTCAAAAAGATATCAAGCTATTGACTTGATTTGCTAAAATCTAAAAATTAAAAACTAACTATTAAAATCTTTTTAAAGCTTGAAAAAATAAAATTTTGACTATAATAATAAAAACTAAATGATATCAAAAGTTGAAAGATTTGAGAATCTTATTGATAACGTGCTATATAATAAAGTATTAAGAAAATTAAAAATCTTATTTTGAATGTATATTTACAAATGAGGTGGAGGTTATCTCTATAAGATTTACGAGATAAATATAATCAAATTTAAAAATTCAAATCAAATTGCACTATTAAGTTAATTTGATCTGCTAGGTTGTTTGACCTATCTAAATTGCTTGGTTTAGTCTGAACATTTGGACCGGACATTCATATATATTCATAACAATTTTTCTTTTTTTTAATCTGATTTTGTTATTTCCATGTGATTTAGCTTATCCAATTTGGCACAAAATGATAATGTAAAACGTCATTGCAGAGGTTTATTAGAATTTAAAGACAAAATAATCAAGAATGTATTATTTATGTAATGTTGATAATCAAAATGTTATTTTTTTATGTTTCAAATTTTGATGAAGAAATTAAAAAATCTCAAAATTAGATTAGGTGACTGACAGGACAATTTACCCAAAAACTATATGCATGGGTGAAGCCTAAAGGTGATGGAAAAGTTTATAAAACTCAAAAAAAAAAAAAAAGAAAGAACCCAGCATTATAAAATTAAGAATTATTATTAATTTGTTCAGACAAAAGAAGGTTTGATAAGTTTGCTATGAATATAGATAGGTGGTTATCATATCATGTGTAATGGTTGTTGAATTATCCGTGAAGGATAATTAGCTGCTTCGAAACATTGTCAATGGTCGGCTGCTGTCAGAAAGTCCACGTGAATGGCCTGTCAGTGGAGCAGTTTTAATTTCCAGCGTACACAAAACTAAAGATGTCGCATGGGACAACAGGATAAAGAGAAGTTGAAGATATATATTGGGTTAGGTTATTGCGAGGGAATGCTTAAACTACCAATCAAAATGTTAACACACCTGCAGTCTTCACAGCGGAAGGTCATGTGAGTGAAAGCGAACAGTATAATACTGACAGTGTTAAGGAATTTTTCTTTTCCTTTTGGCACAGCATAATAAAGGAGTTTGAGCAGTATTTCATCTATATAATTATTAGTTAATCAGGAATCTTCAAGGAATAACCAGAGGCCCTTGGATTTTTTATATTAAGTTTACCGAGGGTTTTGTTCAAGGCCATTGTATCTAACTTAATTACTTTTCTATAGTATCCGTTAAATAAAATTCTCCATCTTATTCAATACGTCTTTTCTGTAAAAAAAAAAAATTATGGATTAATAATGCAACCAAATTTTAAATTAATTAATCAATTATAATTTCAATACAAAGATGACAAAACAAGCAAGTTCTGTTGATTCATTTTAGAATTCAAATAATCTCAACTTTGGATTGTTTTGGATTTGGATAAATTTTAAATTATTTATAATATAATTATTTCAACATAATTTTCAAATTCAATTTTTTTTCTCGGTTTGAAGCATTTTAAATTTGAATCATTTCGAATTAACTTATTTTTAAATTTAAATATTTAACTTTAGTCTGAGTTTGAATTTAAGCCTTGTCAAATGAGTTTTTGGATTCATTCTGCTAGCTTTAAATCAACATACCATATAAATCTACTAAATGGATTAATTTAGGATTTTCGTTTCTCCAATACGAATTAATGTTCATTAATATCCAAAAAAGAAATTAATTTTTTTTTAATAAGAGTGAAGGATTCTAATCAGCAGCCATGATTAGAAAGTTGATAATCATTACTGTGAGGAACCTGAGCTGATACAAATATTCCGTGATGCTCTCTCTGAAAAAAAATCCCATGAAGAATCAGCTCGTACGGAAGAGCTAAACAGAGAGTTCAACTTTATTCGCAAAAAACGATACTTGTGGATTAGAAGAAGAGGAGGACATTGGTTGAATATACCTATGATATGCAGAGACAACAGACAAGAAAATAAAGGGACTGTTTGTTCAGATATATTAAAGTTATTCGTTAAAGGAAAAGATAAAACAACCATCAGTCAACGCAAAAACATGTGATAGTGCCAACCCCCTTTGGCGACGACCCCCATTCTCACCGATGGAGATGGCCCATCATGCAATTATTTACCAACTTAGCCTTACATGCAGAGGGACGAAACTCTATGGAGGTATAAGTTTAAGTTCATTTTATTAGAGAGGAAATGAATCTGAAAAAGGATGGGAGTAGAGTGACTGTTGGTGAAGGACAAAGACTTATACTTAACGGCAACTAACAAACACATGCCAAGAAACGAAAAGATTGTTCAAACTTTCCTTTGCCTTCTCGAGTGTGCAATCAGGCACGAGCAAATTAACCACCGGTCAACTCAACCCTTTTGTCTTTGATTTTCTCTTTAGCTACAATAGCTTTATCTCTATACTTATTACAACATCAACCCTTAATATACTCTCTTTATATCTTATACAATTCCTCTTCTTTTCCTTTGCGCTCTTCCTTTTCTTTCTTTCCATTGCCATTTTGATTTATTAGGGTTAAGGGGGTAATTAGTTGTACTGGAGGCAATGAGGAAACCGTGCTGTGATAAGCAAGACACGAATAAAGGGGCATGGTCCAAGCAAGAGGATGAGAAGCTCATAAATTACATTCAGAAACATGGCGAAGGTTGCTGGCGAACTCTCCCCCAGGCTGCAGGTACGTAACTCAATGGACAAAAAAAAAGTGAAAAACCAAATTAGAACACTTGTTTATGAGAAAAATTGTGAAAAACGAGAAAAAAAATATTGTTCTTCTTCCTTAACCTTGTTCATTCAATTGGTTTAGGCCTTCTTCGCTGTGGTAAAAGTTGTAGGCTGAGATGGATAAACTATCTAAGGCCTGACCTTAAAAGAGGCAACTTTGCTGAAGACGAAGAGGATCTCATTATCAAGCTTCATGCACTCTTAGGCAACCGGTACGAATACGATATTCTCAACATCGTAGCTGCTATATATATATATATATATATTTCCGTTGTTGAAAAGTTTCTCAATTATTTGATTAACCATATAAGAGGGAAAATAACGTAAAAAGTAGGTGCATATTGATTCAATATACAATTAGGAGGAACCCTATTGATTGTACTAGTGGGCATCGCTGTCTCTTCCAGCCGAAATTAATTTTAATTCTCTTGTGTTAAAAGTATTTTCTTTATCTTTTGAAAACCAAGATGGAGTCTCATTAGAGAAATGCAAGTATGATTTTCCTAATAAAAAGGGGAAACTCAAATTAAGATCCAGTAACATAATCAACCCAAAAAAGAGTTTTATTAATGGTCTTCTGTTTGTCAATTCATGTAACAAAAAGCATTAATAGAGCTTTTTTTTTTTCTTTTCCTTTTCCTTTTTATACAAGAGAAATTGCCAATGTGCTTAATGGCATGCATTACGAAGTTATGAATCTCTAACCTGGGTTACACAGCCCGAAACGCTTAAACAATATATAGAGCTTGTTCCTATACTTATGCCTATTATTCTTTTATAGAGTAACAATTATGGTGGAAACGTTTTCAGGTGGTCCTTGATAGCTGGAAGATTGCCTGGACGAACGGACAATGAAGTGAAGAATTATTGGAACTCTCATTTGAGAAGGAAGCTTATGAACATGGGTATTGATCCAAATAACCATCGGTTGAGCATCACTATGCTTCCTCGCCCTCAAAGTCCACATAAATATTCCAATACCAGTGCAACTTCATCTGGTTCTAAAGTCCCAGCAGCTAACAAGAAGAATCCAGCAGTGAAATCGCGATGCGACAATGATCAAGTTTCTGATGCTGCAAGTTGCTTGGAGGATGAGCCATATGGTGAGCTTATCCCTGATCTGAACCTGAACCTAGATCTCACCATCAGTACTTCAGCTCCTAATTCCGTTGCTAAAGTTGAAGAGGAACAAAACCACAAAGAGTGCAACATATCAAAGGACCTGGAATTCTCCCCATCTCCCACACTTGTTCTCTTTCAGTAGTCGATTTGCTTGTCCAAAGGGAGATATAATTTGACAAATTAAAACCCTTAACTAGTTAGGCTGGGTTAGGTTGATGAATTGGATATAGGTCCACATTATCTAAATCTTAGTCATCTCTCCAAGGCATGTGGAAAACCGAAGAAAAAAAGGGTGATGAAAGCTGGAAGCGACAGCTATTGGAGATAATTAATAATTATTCCAAAAAGGAAGGGAAAATAGATACAGATGAACACTTTTGAAACTGAACGCAGTGCTTGGAATCCCTAAAACTACCTAGGCATGATGGTGCATACACACATTGGGGAGAGATTCAAAAGGTGAGTAATCACCGAGCTAACTGGGTAATATTGTTTCCTTGTAAATAAGCTGTACACTAATATAAAATCCATTACATCAACATACATGCATGTAGCAATAATTAAGCGGCGTATGTATGTGCTTTAAACCTGATAGATCTGAGAATGATCTAATTTTATAATTTAATGTTGCTCTCTCTCCTCCTTGTACTGGTTTTGATGCTATTTTTGCATGGGTATGGCTTAATTTGTTCTTTGTAACAAATAATGTATCCACTCTACCAGCTAGGTTGCTGTTCAAATTTCAAAACAAGAACCTTCAGCAATTTGATTACCATGTTGTTATAAATGCTGGAAATAGAGAATCTATTACGTCCACAACAAAATTTTAGTCATGAAGACATCGGAAATGGCCACACGACATGCAAGAGAAAAGGATCTGATGATCTTAGGATATACATTACGATTATATAATTTTGTGGGAGGCCTTTTAATGTCTCTTCAAAGTAAAAAATATGCATTAATCCAAGGATAGTGCATGGAATCAACATATATCTATCCTTATGCTCAGGAAAAACGGAAAATCAATTCCATTCATCCAAAACATGTCTCTACCCTAAGACCATTAATTTACTATGCATATAATATATATATATATATATATATATACACGTTTTATATGTAAAATTAATTCATCATGGAAAATGCATGGTTGGTTGAGGATAACATAACAAGTCGGAGGTGATACAAGGTTTTCCATTAATTTTGCATTTCAAATCCCTGCAATTTCTCTTCAAGTACCAAACGTTCAAAGGACCTTCATGTATGACTGATGTATTCTAACTTCAGCTTCTACACATACCGGGTTACGTACGCACCAGGCCAAACTACTTAAGGTGAGGTCACAATTTCTAAATTTCACGCTTGTCACACAATTCACCCAGGATAATTAAACATTTTTCATGATATATAATTGGGTACTTGACAAGAGTGTTGATCCATCTACCATTCAAATTGAATTTGAGTAAGTCATTTTCAGTCCATTTATAGGTAATTAATCCACTTCACTTTCCCTTCTTTGCCACTTTCTCTCTCTCTCTCTCTCTGTTTTTGAAAATTATGAAGATGCTTTTTTTAAGCTATGGGAAGTAAAGATACTCCACCATCAAAGAAGAAAAGGAATAGGGTACTGGACGCTATACCCACATATAAACGACTATATACTTCCAGTTTCCGAGCATCATTAACCAGTAAAATAGGTAGCCTTCCCAACATAAAAGGCAAGCATAAACATAGACCCAAACCCTGAAACCCATACAAAAATGGCATTGTAGAACCCCTGAAAGATGTGAAAGAAACCTCATAAACTATGAAACAGTAGTGCCCTTATGCATACAAACTAATAGGTTTGCCCTTAGATTGCATAATAGAGTGGATAGAAAATGAATGGAAAAGTGAGAGAGGAGAGGTGCTCATGGACCAAGCTGAGCCTTCCTTTTTTAAAGTCAGGTTTGAGTTCAATCTGATTGTATCTAATCTGTCCTTTCTAAGTTGAGATAAAAAAGTAGAATCTAAAAAATAATAAACAAGTTTGTAAATATATGCAACACTTGATTCACAACTTTTCCATTTTCTTTCCTTTAAACTTTCCAATTCTAAATGATTACTACGATGAAAGATGAAAAATGATAATTCCCTCTTATTTTCTTTATTCTCACTTTTTTCTTATACCAGGCATTAGTGGAATTCATTTTCCTTTCGCATTTTCAACTATCCCGTTTCATCATCTTCCATTCTACCAAGCAAAACCTTAGGTTCACCTACTTCATTGCTGATAAAAATTCCCAAGACCTTTTAACCAATGCTTACTTCACGACCTCCAAGTAATTAATTACTTGTTAATCTACTCTTAAATTGCCTTTTAATCCTTCTCATCTATGCAACAACTACTAGAGTTGTCCAAAATCTTCCACAATCCAAGTCGTAGGGTTCTTGGTTGAAATCCAAGTATTAGGTTAGGAAGAGAGCTTAGGAGAGAGAACTTTTACTGAGGTAATTGAGATTCTCGCCTTTAGGTTAAGTGTTTGAATCTAACATTCCAACATGAGCGTTTCAACAAAGTCAATTATCATATTCCATTTTTTTCCCCTTTTCCCTCAATTCCTTGAGGATAAATAATAAGTGGAGCCGTCTTAGTTTAATGTGAGCAATAACTTATTCGACATTATGGCTTGCTTAATTAGAACGCAAATTACTCGAATAACAATAAATGAAAGAGCCATATTATAAACATCTTCTGTTACATCTTATATTATAGCATCATTTCAAGCCATATTGTGCTGTAAAATTATAGTTTAGACTATTGGGAAATTTAACTAGATTTTTAACCTACACAAATGGATTTGTAGAGTTGTTACCTTATTAATTTTCTTAATAATAATCTAGTTTTTATTTTTTATAATATCATATATAATTAATATTTGACAAAACAATTATTAAATTTAACAAATAACTCATATATTATCCAATGAATCTGACATTCATATATTATCAAGCAAGAATACCATCTTGCATGCATGCATCAAAGGAAAAAGGCGGTGTGCACGGTGATGGATCGATCCAAATTCTAACACAAAACTAAAAGCGGATGGCATGTACCAAAAGAAGAAAAGATTTAAAAAAAAAAAAATTTGATGGCAAGTGAAAAGAACGTAGTAACGTAGTTCATGATGACACGTGTTGCATGTGCCACTTTCCTACTCAAAAAGCTCCTACGTTTCAATGCAATTCAATAACAAAGGCTATTACGCTGGAATATTAGCCTCAAGGTTTAAAACTAGTTTTCTGTATACGCCACACATATGAGGAGGGAAATGTAGTTCCCATTTTCCATGGCGATAGGTAAGCTGGTAACTAGCATTAGATCCATGTGAGACATGAGAGTTTCCTAAATCTTTCTTACCTACAAGTCTTCCTTTGAAGCATGCTCGCTGTTTGGTGTGGTGTCTTTTCCTCGTGAAATTTAAGGTTAAGGCCAGCTGCATTTGGGAGACAGACCGTTAAATATGGATCCTTGAACTTGTCAGACTTTAAGTAATCCACAAGCAACTTTGTATGATTGGAAGTACTGTCTTCAAAAATTTATGTTTCTTAACTCCCTTCCTTCAATGGTTTTGCAACACAATATAAATGCCATCTTTTTGGGACGGTTTGCGACTTTCGGTATCTGAGAATAAGCAGCGTAGACATTTATTATTATTATTATTATTATTATTATTATTATTATTATTATCATCGTTTGAAAAATGTTGGAAATATCTATTGTTTAACATTGTATTGAATAGACACCAAAAATACTTACTCGATAATTAAGGTTTTGGTTGCTTCATCACTTTCTAAGGCTAAGGCTAAGGGCATTAAAGTTTTGGTGTTATGTATTTATCAGCATTAGTTAGAAGATAACAGCACTACCCCAGGGCACCTCTCATGTGCTCCCCTCTCCCACGACAAAACTAGAATCTGATAGATAGTTTTCTTTGGGCAAGAAACTGTACCTGCTATTGCAGTTCCATGAATGGAAGTAATTACGAGATCTGTTACACGCTGCATGTTGTTTGTATCGTTTCTTACTTGATTTTCCTGTGGTTGATTGAGGGTGCTGCTCCTCTTCCTCTTTTCTCATTAATGGTTGAGTGACTTGTCTGTTTTGGTGCTGTTTCTGCTGAGATTGGTTTTTTTTTTGGTAGTTATCAACCCTGTCTGATTACTGTATCTGAGTGTGTTTTATCACTTTCTGCTTTCTGGTCTCTCCTTCTTTGACCAGACTCTATCAACATGTTTCTACACTCAATAAAATCCCTTTTCGATCGAGAAAAATAAATAAATAATGACTCATAAAATGCAATTACGCATCTGATCGGACACACCATCAAGCAATAAATGTAAGAGAAATTATGATGCTCTCCTAATATTTTCCTGCATAATCAATTTTTTTAGCAAAAATTCGGAGGTAGATAGACTGCTAGGTCCAACCCCTGGCCCAAGACATAGATATATAGTTTTCTGCTCACGAGAAAATCGATACTTAATTATAAGATCTTTTATTTAGCCGAATGAATAAATTAATTGAAGCAATTCCTCGTCGATCACAAAAATCACATTTAAAATTTTAGGGTTGGATTCTTTGTAATTCAAGGTGATTGGCAAAGGGTCTTTGATGTAAACAAGGAATTGCAATTAATCAGTTACTGTATTGATATATATATATATATAACCAACTTGGTGCAATCTTTATTGGCTTTTGAAATATTAGGCTGGTTTATGGACAAACTCAGGCCCATGTTTCCAAGTAACTGGGTGCAATCACACTGGTCTGGAAAATATAATCCTGGTGCGGCCCAAAATATATCCCACACACTTACACGTTTTGTTTGATAATTCCATGTCACCATGTTTACATTGGAAATATATCCCAGAAAGAACCAACACCATCAGATTTTTTTTTATGGCTAAATACTCAATAAGTTTCTGAATTATACAAAAAAAATTAACATAGTCTTTATTTTTTTTATTACATTTAAATAAGTATCTAAACTCTTATTTTGAATCAAATAAATCTTTTTCTTTAACTATTGACTAACTTCCGTTAATCAACTATGTCGTTAATAATTTTTTATGCCACATCATTTGTCATGTGACATGTTGTTATGTCATCTTGATGACATCAATATCACAAGATAAATGATGTGACATAAAAAATTATTACTTAAAAATTGAGATTTTTTCTTTTAACTTATTCAAATGTCTAAAAATTATTAATTAGGGAAAAGTTAAAAAATCTAATTGTTTCAAACTAATTACGTACTATGGTTTCATAATTGATTACTATCTTTTGAATTGAAACCATACTTCTTAACAAAAAAACCTAATCCAACTTTTCTAGTTAGATTGAAACCATTGTTGCGCTACTAAAGGTTACTGCAGAAAAATCTAAAAATATCAATAAACGATTTTGACAAGAAGATGTTTACAAGAGTTGAGAGGCACAAGCTTTACACTTGAGATGGATAATCATAATAAATATTTTCTTTACTTCTCATATCTTACAAATCTTTGATTGCCCCCCTCTTTCTCTACAAAAGTTTTCCATTTTCTTGCTGTCCTCCAATAATCACTTTCAAAAATCCC